AAAAAGAGAGAGAGTGAGCTAAGTGTGGATTTAGTTGTGTTAAGTAGAGATTAAATGAGTTGGGTTATAGCTGGATTCCCTTTGCCGGGATAGTTTATTATATTATCCGGTTCCCTTGCCAGGGATAGTTTATTATAACATTTCTTTCTCTTGCCGGGATTATATTGTGTTTGTGCTGAATGAAATGGGATCGTGTGGCACGCCGACCACGAATTATTAATGAAATGGGATCGTGTGGCACGCCGACCACGTGATATTATGAAAATGGGATCGAGTGCGAACGTGATATTATGAAATGGGATCGAGTGGTAGCCAGCCACGTATATTTGAAATGGGATGAGTGGTACGCCTACCACGTGAATATTATGAAATGGGATCGAGTGGACGCCACCACGTGATATTATGACAGATGGCAGTGGTACGCCTACCACGTGATATTATGAAATGGATCGAGTGTACGCCTACCACGTGATATTATAAAATGGGATCGAGTGTACGCCTACCACGTGATATATGACATGGATCGTGTGGCATGCCGACCACGAGATATTATGAAATGGGACCGGTTGCACGCCTGCAACGAGAGGAAAATTAAAACAAGTGAAAGTGGTTCGTTTTCCCTTATTCTGTGCTAGACGTAATCATATGTAGTTTCCTTGTTATTCCTGAATTCTGTTTATCTGGCTACCCCATAAGCATGTTCCCCTCCCGTTTAAATTGTTATTTTCCGCTATTATTTTGTTGTACTTGCATATATATATATATATATATGTATATATATATAATATATATATATTAATATATCTGCAACAGTTTATTTGGTAGTCTGGTCTAGCCTCGTTCACTACTTCGCCGGGGTTAGGCTAGACACTTACCAGCACATGGGGTCGTTGTGCTGATGCTACACTCTGTGCATCTTTTTGCACAGATCCAGGTGTTGGAGCAGCTTTTGAGTAACAGTAGCATTCTGGGAGCGAGCTTTCAGCCCATGGACATTTGAGGTAGCCTTGCTGACGTCCGCAGGCCCGGGGTCCCTTCTGTTTTATTCAGTTTGTTATCACTTGCTGCGAAGCAAACAGTATTGTACTTGTTCAGACTTTGTATGTAGTATTCTGTAGACGTTCGTGAGTTAGTGAACCACTCTTGGTAGAGGATTTTGTTAAACTTCCGCATTTCTTTCAGTTAATCATATTTGAGACTTCCGCTTATTTATTAATACTGTATTGTTCCTAATATTGTCAAAGTTCGTTAAAGAGGTAGTTGTTAATTGGCTTGCCTAGCTCTCAT